AGTGGTGTGAGGCTACTTGTTTCTTATTTTTTATAATTCTAATTTTTTATAATAAAGTTATTAGGATTCTTTCTTTTTGTTAATATGTTTCTATTGTTATTCATAACGTGTTTCTTGGTGTATAAAACTTATTTTATTTTTTGATATTATTTGGCATTAATTGATTTGGTTGAAAGAATTGCCACTGGATAAGATCTTTCACTGAAAGCATTAACTAATTTATTTTTAAGGCTAGTCTTATACTTGATAATAAAACTAAATTGTTGAAAATAGGTTTTAAAAAATAGCTCATTTTACCACCTGTAAAATGACTTTTGATGCTTCTTATATATCTTTTTTGTTTTTTTAAAAAAAACATTATATTACATGGCCTACCTCTTCTTATAGTTTCTAACAGACATGTCAAGTTTGTCAACTATATTTGAAAGACCTTTTAGGCCAAAATAGAAACAAAACTCCTCTTTTCTAGTGCATTTCACCCATAAACTAATGGCCATACATAAGTTATCAATAAAAATCTAGGCAATCTATTTAGATGCCTCACTAACAAATATGAAGTTAGTTGAGATTTAATTCTACCTCATGCAGAGTTTACATACAACAACTATATCAATATAACCACAATATGTACATCTTTTGAATTAGTCTATGGTATACATCCTATAACACCAATCAATGTTATCTCTTTACCATTATCCCAAAAGGTTAGTGAATTTAGGATACATTTTGCAAGATCTATGACCTCTTTACATGATAGTATAATGAGTTAAATGACAGAACAAACTGCCAAGTATGCTGCTCATCTTAATTTGCACAAATGAGATATGCAAGTTTAATGCAAAAAGGTTCTATTCAAGTTTCTTAAACAATTCAGTACTAATTTATATTTAATTGATCTACCATCGAAGTTCTATATCAATCTTGTCTTTAATGTAACTGACCTTAAAACATATCATAGTCCTTTACCTTCGTTTAAATCTATTGCCCTAACAAATATCCCTCATGTTCAACTTATTACTGAAATTGTAGATTCCATATTGACACATCAATTTGTGTTTCAGAAATTATAATCCTTATTTGGTGTGATGCTAATATGGGAGTGATTTTCTTAAGTGGTGTGAGACTATTTGTTTCTTAGTTCTTGTAATTGTTGTTTTATACAATAAAGTTATCAAAATTCTTTTCCTGTGTTAATACTTTTCTGCTGTCTTTTATACTATGTTTCTTGGTTTATAAAACTTATTTTCTTATTTGACATTATATATATTACATTTTTCTCATATATCCACTGACTTGGTCATTGTATGACCCCCTATTTTGATAAAGAAAAACTCGTTTTTTAAATGAGTGTAGATGTTACCCTGCCAACTTGCTTTGGATAATGACCTAGTTAATTATTCTATTAGCCCATCAACTAGGCCAAGCCCAATCACTCCACCAATACAAGTTCAGAGTTGTAAAAAACTCAATATAATCTAAAATTATCATTATTTTATCAAAATCCAACAATAAGTTTTTAAGCAACCCAAATGCTCAATGCTAGATAATTAATTATAAATAAAATGGCTCAGTCTTTTAATGTAGATTGCATAGTGCAGTCCACGGTAAAAAAACTAAACTGTTTTTTATTTTTTTCTTTTTTAATTAATATTTTTTATTTAATTTAGTTTATTAATATTAATTTTTTTTATTTGGTTATTAAAATTTTATGACAGGAATTTCGGGTTTGACAGGTTAATATGAATTTTTATTTTTGGTTTTTCTTTTTAATTATTTTTTTGTTAATTTAATTTTTTTTCTATTTAGTTATTAAACTTTCATAACATGGATTTCAGATTTGATGGATTAATCCAGCTAATTCTGGGTTAACCCGTAATTATTTTTCCTATTCAATTATCAAACTTTTATGACAAAATCTCAGGTTTGACAGGTTAACCTAATTTGAACGGTTAACTCAGTTAATTTAGATTTTTTTCCTTCATTAGTTTTTTTCTTCATGTAGTTTTTTTTCTTTGTTTTGTTATTTTAAATTAATACTTTTTTATGTGTAGTAGTTTTTTTTTCTTTTTTTTTGGTCTTTTTAATTATTTTGTTAATATTACATTATTTTATGGTTTTTCTTTTTAATTATTTTTTTAATTTAATTTGTTATATTAAGTTTTTTTTCTTCTATTTAGTTATCAAATTTTCATGATACAGATTTCAGGTTTGATGGGTTAACCTGGTTTGATGGGTTAACCTAGTTAATTCAAAAAACTTTTCATGATTTTTTTCTTCTTATAGGTTTTTTCTTGTTTTGTTTTTTCTTTTTAAATAATCTTTTTTTGTTTAATTTAGTTCATTAATATTAATTTTTTTTCTATTTAGTTATCATACTTTCATGACATGAATTTTAGATTTGACAGGCTAACCTAATTTGACGGGTTATTCCTATTGATTCAATTTTTTTTAATCTTCATTTATTTTTCTTTCCAATTTCTTCTTTTAATGTTATAACTATAACTAAAATATATCAACCTTTCGTTGTGGATTGCACTGTACAAATCTATAGTGATAGACAAATATCTTTTAGTTGTATGTTTTTCTTATTGCTTTTTTCTTTGTTTTTTTTCTTTTTAATTAATTTTTTTTGTTTGATTTAGTTTGTTAATATTAATTTTTTTTTTCTATTTAGTTATCACACTATCATGGCACGGATCCCAACTTTGATGGATTAATCTAGTTTAGTGGGTTAACCCAGTTGATTTAGATTTTTTTTTCTCTTAATTAGTTTTTTTCTTCTAATGTTATTTTTTACTATTGATTTGATTGAGAAGTAAATTTCATGATTTATTTTATTTATTTTTCATTAAATTATCGTAATTTCATGAGAGGATTTTATTATACACCTCCTCGCAAAACACTATTCATTGGAACAATGCTTTGCCTTTTCTTCTTTTTTAATTAATTTTTTTTTGTTTAATTTTATTCTTTAGTATTAATTTTATTCTATTTAGTTATTATATTTTCATGATACGATCTTATAGTTAAATTCACATTCAAGGCTCTTGGGTTTGGTGTTACAACCAAACCTAAGGCTCTTGAACTTAACATTGTAGTCAGATCCACTTGAACTTGAGTAATACAAGTTTGATATTATTATTAATATTAAAAATATTGTTATTTTTATTATAATGAATACTGCTAATATAATAATTAATAAATTTGAAAAAAAATATTATTAGTTATAGGCTTTTTTTTGCTCTTTTATTTTTTAATTAATATTTTTTAATTTATTTTATTAATATCAATTTTTTTTTATTTAATGATCATACTCTCATGATATGGATCTAGATTTGATGGGTTAACTTAGTTTGACAGGTTAAATCAGTCGATTCAGATTTTTTTTTAAATGGTTTTTTTCTTTCAATTTCATTTTTTAATATTGATTTGATTAAGAATTAAATTTTATGATTTGTTTTGTTTACTATTAATTAGATTATTATGATCACATGAGGGAATTTTACTGTACTTCTCTTTACAAAGCACTATTAATTGGAATAATATTTTACTTTATTGTTTTTTTCTTTTTTAATTAATATTTTTTTATTTTTATTCTATAATATTATTTTTTTTATTTTTAATTATTACATTTCTATAACACAGCTTTGTAGTCAGATCTATATTTAAGGCTCTAAATTGCAGTTAAACCCACTTAAACTTAGATTACACATATTTAATATTATTATTAATATTATAAATATAATTTTTAAATCAACTATTATGGATAGAGTCAATACTTTTATATATAACTTTACAAAAGGGGAACTTAATATTCTTATTTTTTAATTTTTTTAATATTTTAATATAAAAAAATAACCTGTAGCACAGCACGAGGCACCTCCTTCCTAGTAATCAAACAAAGATGATCATTTGGTAGGACCGACATGGTAGAGAAAAATGTTTGTTGATGTTATTCCATAAAATAATTCAGGGATCATGTTAAGGCCATCATGACTGAAGTTGCTGATCAGCTTGAATCTGTCCAGTAACAAACTACACATCTAATCGAATCAGCGCATTAGAGTCACGTCAAAGTTCCAACTCTACGCCTGCATTATTTGATGTGTAACCTTATCCCTGGACTCTCAACATTTTTTACAAGCTCAACTGTGTATGTTTTCTTTCGAAAAATAAAATAAAATAAAATAAAACAAGACAAGACAAAGGCACAGTATTATTCTAGATCAAATTAAATTATTGTTGTTAGAGGGCATAAAAAATTCCGTCTGAAATCTGAGCAGTTTCCTACACTTGTATTCCTTTGCTGTGCGTGTGGTATGCATACTGTGCACAGTTAATGAAGAAATTGTTGCAGGGCATAAAGATTAGAAGTTAAATGATTTTCATATATGTAATTTCATTACAATATCAATAATATCATTTCATAATTAAAGCATCACTTACTTAATTCAAGCTCAACGAAAAGTTTTTGTTTGGACTCACTTTTCTATTCTGATAACTTCCATGAATATCTTTAAAATGTTAAATTATATATATATATATATATATATATATATATGCATAAATTAAGATTAAAAGATAAATAATTTTCAAATGTCATTTAATTAAAATTAAAATCAATAATGTCACCTCATTAAAGAATCACTAACGTGATTCAAACCTTGTAATTGAAGCTAAAAGAAATTTTTTGTTTAGAATCACCTTTCTATTCCGATACTGCATATATTCTGGTTTTACCAGATTGTTCTCCACACATACCTAACCTTCGCTAAACAGTTGCGAAATACTATAAACTATCATTCCTATCCCTTTGATTTCTTTTTCTATTATAATTCCACTAAGCTTGCATGGTTAGCAGCCACTCGTTCACAGTGAATTCCAACTAAAGATTGAGTTCTATCACTAGCTAGCTAGTTCGCTCAGTAGGGGCCGTATTGGTCCTTTATAAACACCATATCCCATTGAGGTGGAAATTAGTTTCTTGTTAGTAAAGGTGGAAATTAGTTTCTTGTTAGTAAAGATGAAGAGCTTTGCTTGTCTTGGTAAGAAATTAGAGCACCCTCGTAATTTCTTTTGCAACAAGGTATGTTGCTTCCATAAATCTTCCATATGTTCAATCCAGTCCTTCCTTCGTGTGCTAGCCTTTCAGATACACCCTTTTTGGGTTCAACTTACTTATTTTGTAATCCTTTCCTTGGTTGGACATATGGCTTTGAAGGTTTCAGAGCCAAGACCTGGCTCATTAAGGCCTGCAAGCCTTGACATCTTCTTTACTTCTGTTTCTTCAGCAACAGTTTCAAGCATGTCAACGGTGGAAATGGAGGTCTTCTCTAACACCCAACTTATCATCATGACCATTTTGATGTTATTGGGTGGAGAGGTCTTCACTTCCATCCTTGGACTTTATCTGTCGAGGGTCAAATTCTCTAAACTTGAAACCAAGGAAAGTAGAGTCCTTTCTGTTTACCACAATCCTCCAAAACGTACCAACTTTCCAGGGCTAGAGATTGAGAAACCAGCCAATGTAGACCTAGAATATAATCTCAACTCTTTAGACAATGATCATAGTCTCAAGTTGAGCTCACTTAAGAGCCTTGCTTGTGTGGCTTTGGGCTATTTTTCAGTTGTTCACATTACTGGTTCTAGTTTAGTTGCTATGTATACAAGCCTTGTTCCTAGTGCAAGACAAGTCCTGGGCAGTAAAGGAATTAAGATTCAGACATTTTCTGTGTTCACCACAGTCTCTACCTTTTCCAGCTGTGGTTTTGTGCCTACAAATGAGAACATGGTAGCTTTCAAGAAGAATCCAGGACTCCTACTCATTCTCATCCCTCAAGTTCTTCTTGGAAACACATTATACCCATCATGCCTGCGGTTTCTGATCTGGATTTTGGAGAAAATCACAAGGAAAGTAGAGTTCAGATACATTCTGATGAATACTAGAGAGATGGGTTATGGCCATTTGCTATCCTTTTCTCATTCGTGCCTTCTCGCTATCACAGTCTCGGGGTTTATACTGGTGCAATTCATACTCTTTTGCTCCATGGAGTGGAATTCAGGAGCTATGGATGGTCTGAATCCCTATCAGAAGTTCATGGGTGCATTGTTTCAGGTTGTAAATTCAAGGCATACTGGTGAATCTATTGTTGATCTCTCCATCATCTCTCCAGCAATCTTGGTGCTCTTCGTGATTATGATGTAAGTCTTTCTTTCTTATTTTACATGTATATATCTATGCATGATATATTTATTTAATTATGGAAAGTCCATGCATTAAATCTTATGATTGGATTTTTGTTTTTGGTACAAATTTTGTATTTGTACAGAATGTCACTCTGATTATTTTTCTTTATACCTTAAAAATTAAATATTTCAAACATACTATGAGCTTGATATTTAAATTCACTTTTTGAACGTTCAAGATCACAGGCCATATATCCTTCATTAAATTCTTATTAGATAGAAAAACAGACGGAGAAACAAAAATTGCAATTCTCAAGTAATCAAGATTTTTTTTTCCCAGGTTGCATGATAATTATTTTGAGCCAAAAAAAAGAAGAAGGAATGAAGTGCATGCATTAAAGCTAATATTTGTATATTGAGACTCTAAAAAACAACTTATCTCATGCTTTTCTTTTTGAAATACTGGGAATCATAATACTGGCCACAAAAAATATGAGCTCCGCGTTACACTGTTACGTGGCCTGCAATTCCCAAACGAATAGTATTGTTTCGATCTCAAAAGGAAATTCCTGTCAAATCCAACCACAACAACGATGGTGGGGGAATCTCATACCCTGTCCATTAACTCCTTCCTCTGCGCCAAATGGATATCATGTATGCATGGAGAATTAGATCGTGACCATATATAATTATGACTTTCTAGTTGAGCCTCCCATTTTGCCTGGTCATTGCACAGCGCTGAATTTAATATTAAGTTCACTTTTGATTTTTTATTTAAAATATTTAAGTTTTATATTAGTCGAGCCTCCCAATTTATTTTTTTTATTAGATTTTGGGTTTGTTTCTCTGGATCATTTTGTGTTTGGCCGGGCAGCATATATATATATATAGTTAACTCTTTCTCTCCTTAATGTATGTATATGGATTGATCCACTGAAAGTGGATGGAGTATAAACCCTATTTAATTTAATTAATTGTCCCAAAAGCACTACATACATACATTAATTAATTAATTACTTTAGATATGATAAACAACCAAGAAGTGGATCTCTAATGAAAAGATTACTTACTTTGAAAAGAAAAAAATAATCCAAAATATATTATTTTGACTATGCAAACAGAATCAAATCTATTAATCATGCATTGAACAGTACTAGAAGCTTATCATAAGTATATTACTTGCACAAATTTGATTCTTGTTGTTGCTGTATGACGAATTGCCCCTTTCAAGCTCAAATTCGTTTCAACTGGAATAAAATCATCTCTAATATTTCATTTCTTCTAAAAGTCTAGCTTCCTGTAGAATATATATATATTTAAATTCAAAGAAAAAAGTTCCAAGTTGTCTTCAAAAGGAAAGAAAAAATAATGAGGTCGAGTGCTGGCTAGGACCCCTGCTTCTTTGGATGATTTGATGCTTAACCATTAAGGTTGACTAAATATATAAAGCACAATCTAATTATGAAGTCTAAATATAGGCTTACCTTCATTCATGGTTGGGGTTCATTTCTGCATTCCATTCTTATAAGCCCCAAAAAAAATGCTATCACACTTCTTAAAACACGACTCATCAAAAGTTTGTCTACAAGATTGAAGTTGTGTTAGATTAGACCTTGTCTGAAATCCTTGTAATCTTGGATTTATTTTTATTTTTATTTCTGTGTTTGAAGGTATCTGCCACCATGCACTTCACTTATGCCAATAAAGCAACAGGAAGAGGTTGATTCAGAAACTGGCCAAAAATGCAAAAACCAAAGGAAGTCTTTGGTTCATTGCCTGTTGTTCTCACCTTTATCTACCTTAGCCATCTTTGTGATTCTCGTTTGCGTCTCAGAGAGAGAGAAGTTGAAGAAAGACCCCCTCAACTTCAACGTGCTCAATATCACCATAGAAGTCGTAAGGTATCATAAATTCTTATCACAGAGAACGACTGTCCAAATCATTTATTTTTTTTATGTAATCAAAATCTATATATGATCGACTGTGTGCATAATATATTTAACTAACTCCATAATGAAAAATTAATCATTTTGTAGCGCATATGGAAATGTCGGGTTCTCAACTGGCTATAGCTGCAAACGACAACTTGAACCTGATAGCTCGTGCAGAGATGCATGGTTTGGATTTGTTGGAAGGTGGAGTAACATGGGAAAATTTATCCTCATCTTAGTAATGTTCTTCGGAAGGCTTAAGAAATTCAGCATCAATGGTGGTAAAGCTTGGAAGCTCTCCTAGCCAGTAATTAACCATATATCCAGGACGTAGTTGAGCCTTTAGAAGAGTCCTTTCTAACGTAATTAGCTAGTATGCATGAAGTGATTGGGCTTGGAATATAGTGATGTTCTCTGAGCCCTAACTATATCGTATAGATTATGAGTGAGCTTGCATAGCTTTGTATGGACTGCAAATCTCAACTTGTAGATGGTCAACTATTTTATAAAGTAATGTTGGGTTGGTGGGTTATGGAATGAGTAATTAATGGGCCATTGGCCCTTTTGTTTTTTTTTTAAGTTAGGACTGATTAGGAGTCTGTTGGCCCTAATATATTTGTACAGGACAAGAACATTTGGAAAGAAATGGATAGCAAATTAGGGTTACCGTTAAGAACAGTAAAAACAAACGAGGGATTAAATTGCCATCTCGAAAAAATGGGTATAATTACCTGATACTAATAACATAGAAGAGTAATATATCGTAAATATATTGTAATTATAACATAAATATCATAAAAACAGACTATCTATAAGGATTCTATATCTAGCTGCTAATAACATAGAAGAGCAATATATTGTAAATATATTGTAATTATAACATAAATGTCATAAAAAGGACTATCTATAAGGATTCTATATCTAGCTGGTAGGGTTATATTTTGAGGGGTGTTAATTAATTGACCCTCTTCGACTTCCAAAAATATATTAATAATTATGACTTATATTATATAAATTCATAATGTTTTATATGATTGATCTCCATGAAATATTAAAGAGATAATGAAAATTAAAAGGGTTATATTTTCCACTATAAAGAAACAAAGTTATCAAATGTTGCATATTTCAAATGATATATTCATAAGAATAAGGTCCAATTTTTCATATTACTTTGATCTTCATAGCTTAATTAATTTTAAATAATCAGTTTTTTTTCTTACTGTATATGTTATTTAATTTTCTTGGTTTATCTGGTTTTAAATCATTAATATTGAAATCTAAATTAACCAAGACAATTTGCCATGTTTTAGATTTGCTTAACTTTTTTTGTTAGAATTCACATTATTTTATTTTTTAAAATACTTAATATAATTCCTAAAATAAAGTATAAGGTTTTAAATGACCTCATTAAAAAAGCTTCCTATATATGTATTTAGACGTTTATGAAAAAAAATACAAGATTTGTTTTAGCTTTAATTAAATCAACTTACATCCTATATTTTTTTTTAGAAAAACCCAACTGAGATTAGATTGATTTATAGGGTTGGTGAGTTTAGATTTATTTAAAATTATGGTAGCGGGTTGGATTTCATAAGTTAGATAAATTAATTTTAATTAACTTGAATTAATTAAAATTATATTATTTTATTTTAAAAAATCAAATAAAATTTTTAATTTGATAAACTATGTTATGGTTTGATTTATTTTGCAAATCAACTTCCATCCTATATTTTTTATAAAAAAACCCAACTGAGATTAGATTGATTTATGGGGTTAGTGAGTTTAGGTTTATTTAAAATTGTGGTAGCGGTTATGATTTAAAGTATTTTTATTTTAAAATTATATTAAAATAATATTATTTTATTTTTAAAAAAATTAGTTTTGATATTAACATATAAAAATAATTTAAAAAGATAAAAAATAATTTATAATAAAAAAATTTTAAAATTTAAAAAAACATGACATCACGTTCCAAAACAGACATTTGATATCATTGTAATCAGTTACACAATTTTTATTTTTTAAACCATTTTGGAGTGTTTGATTGAGAGGTGGTTGAAAGAGCAAGATCACAAGAGATGGACCCTACAACGACCCCGCAGTATCTTCCAATTTTAAACATCTCACTTTGGTCAGAAGGGTGAGTATGAACAACACTCCAAAAACGTATCACGAGCCATTACAAGACAAACCTCCTCCTTTTCTTCAGTTTCTCAATAAAACATTTTCTGCCCATATACTCTGCCTTTAAGCAAAACCAAGCTTCATTTTTCAGTCCTAAAAACAATGGCAAAGGAGTGCCGCAACTCATTGAAGGTAGCCCTTCTCGTTTCTTGTTCACTCCTTGTCCTTGCCTTTTCATCCTTTTCTGTCCAAGCACTCAACATTGGAGTCCAAACAACCGGTTCTGCTATCTCCCTGGTTTGTTCTTTTGATCATCTCTCAGTTTTTCGTTATTTTTTCTTGTAATATATACAAGCCATAATACTTGAAGATTTCTTCGTTTTCCTTAGAGCAAAGACTGTAGCAGGAAATGTGAGTCAGAGTTCTGTTCAGGTGGGCAATTTTCTTTACAATTATTTATTTTCTTTCCAAAAAGACAGTTTGATCTATCTATTACAACAAACAACAAAATCTATAAAAAAAAATTTACAGACACAATCGCTTTACAGTAAACAATTTAGGGTTGTTTCTTTTTTTCTTTTGTGCTTGAATGTTCTGCTCATTGAGTTTTAACAAGAATATGGTCAAGATTGTTGTTGATTTATGTGGATGGCAGTGCCACCGTTTTTGAGATATGGCAAGTATTGTGGGCTTCTATATAGTGGATGCCCGGGAGAGAAGCCTTGTGACGGTCTTGATGCTTGTTGTATGAAGCATGACGCCTGTGTGCAAGCAAAGAACAGTAAGTTCTCATTCACCATAAGAGCATGGCTCCGTTGTTGGTGTAATTTTCTTTAAATTTCTTCGAGTACTTCTCAATGTATGGTCCCTTTTCTGGTAAAAGGGAGATCAACTGTTTAATTGCAGCTCCCATAGATCTATACTAGGGGGTGGACAAATTGGTTACAAAAAGGTATCATGAACCGGGGGGGTGGGGGGGATTATTTGACTATGCCAAAATCAGTAGTTGTGATTTGATAGAAAGATAAATATTCCTTTCCCTTTCCTCCTTCCCTTATCTTTACGTTGAATTACTATATCGAGATAAAATAGCAGGTAAAATAGCTGGTAACAATTGAGGTAGTGAAAACATGCACCCCTGTTTTTCTATTTTGAAAAGAATAAAAATTCATTTCAAAATTGTAATCATCTCTGTTTCTCTTCTCAAACATGTTTCTATTATATATATATATTGTCTTAGAACACCAAGCACATAATTAGAGGCAAGGCATGCAATACCCTAATCATAGAATTTTTTTTTATTTAAAAAAAAGGCACAAACAATGCCTGTCATCATTAAGAATTACCACGGTAATCAAGTGTCGGTGGAGATGCATAGAAAATAAGTCGAAAGTGAAAGCTAAATCTATAGATGAAGTCACCATTAGGATAGGCATATGGACAGCTATGAATTTGGTTGCTTGTGAGTGTAACTGACAGGAAATTTGCTGTGATGTGTTGCTTGTGATTGTAGAAGTAATGATTTATTTATTTATTATGTGGGGATGGTGCATTATTGCATGCAGATGACTATCTAAGCCAAGAGTGCAGCCAAAACTTCATCAATTGCATGAACAATTTCAGAAACTCAGGTGCACATACATTTAAGGGGAACAAATGCCAAGTTGATGAAGTTATTGATGTTATATCTTTAGTCATGGAAGCTGCTTTGCTTGCTGGAAGAGCTCTTCATAAGCCATAGATAGAATCAACTCCAAGTTTACTTTCTTTAGTCTTTATTTTCCTTGCTTTGTCTTTATTTATTTTTTTCTTTAAAAAAACTGACTTTTCTTTTCCTTAATTGTATACAACTTGAAGTTGTTCGGTCTTAAACAAACTATTAGGCATGTTCTTCGTCCATTCATTTCGTGTCCAAATTCTCTGTATTTTCAGTTGATGTGTGCTCTCACGGGTGGCCATGGCGGCTTCTGAAATCTCCATTTTCTAACTATATATGGGTCCATTCCTTCCGGCTAAAAATAGAATTAAAGACTGATTCATGTTGCAAAACTCATAGAATTCTAATTCCTCTTTCCATATTCACGAATCCAAAGGTAACATAAGCCCAAGAGCTAGAACTTGAGGGCAGTTTCTTCACTTGGACTGGGTATGTTTGTTTTGCATATTTTTCTGCGTTTGCGGTACAAAAAATATAGTTACATAATACATTAAATTGTGTTTATACAAAAAAACTCATAGAATTCTAAATCTGACTAACTATATTTTTTTTAAATTATAACCATAAAAGTTATCTAAAAAATAAACATAATTTTAGTGGTGGTTTATTTATACGGCTGCAATTGCTTTTAAAAACAAATCATCACATGTAAATGTTTAGTAACAAAGAACAACAATTTATTTTTAGTGAGACATTGTACAGTTCATGTTTACAAAGTAATTTTTGCTGAAGTAGCTCTTGCCTACTTTTCTTCTTCATTGTTACTTTTTTTAATGAACAGTATAAGTGAAATTTAATTCACTAGTACTATTTACATGAATAATTTTAGTTTTTTTTTAAACAGTACAATGAATTATAAATTCATTATTTTTTTAAGTGAACAATATGAGTAAATTTTAATTTATTTATACTGTTCATTAAATAATTAAAAAAAAAACATTATAATGAATTATAAATTCACTCACACTGTTTATTTTTTAAGTAAACAGTGCTACTGAATTTTAATTCACTATCACTGTTTATTGAATAGTTTTTTTAAAAAAAAATTGGTGCAACGAATTATAAATTCACTCGCACTATTTATTTTTTTAAGTAAACAGTTCTTCTTTAAAGAAAAACTAGTTTAGAGTGAATTAAATTCACTTGCACTGGCATGTGAACAATATTTTTTTCTGAAAAACTAGTATAGAGTAAATTAAATTTACTTGTACTATAATTATAATTTTTTTTTCTGATAATATTTTATTTAATTTTATTGCACACTCAAAAAATCATGGAAACTGTAGTTTTTTTGGATGAATTTTGTACGTAATGGAATTGTAGATGATTTAATGGAATAATAAAAAATATTTTATATAAAGTATTATTTATTTCATAATGTAATAGTAGTAATTAAATCTACAATATTTAAATTTAAAATCATTAATATTAATATATATTTTTTATTTTTTAATTGTGTTTTATTTGAAAATTTGAAAGGAGATCGTTTGATGACGTAGCATTTACAGAATTTGATTGCAATCCTAATTTTGTTCTTGATGATATTTTTACCTGATATTATTGCACGCTTGAGAAACCATAGAAAATATAGTCCTTATTGGATAGATTTCATATGTGATGAAATTACACGTAGTTTAATATAATAATAAAAAATATTTGATATTATTATTATTATTTCATGATGTAATAATAATAGTTAAATTTGTGATATTTAAATTAAAAATCATCAA